TACCGTTTTAACGTTTTGAGCGCGCTTTCACTTTTATATTTTGTTCACGTTTTCGTTCAAATTTTTACTATTTGTTATTTAATTTTGCTGCCTTGTAGCTCCCGCTCTCGAATTTGCTCTTATTCCAGTTCCCGCATCATGTGATTTAAATTACACCTCCTTTTTTTGAGATTCAAATTTATCTAACATATTAACCATTTTATCTTTTTAATGCTTGAAACAATAATAAATGACAAAAATCTTAAAAGATATAGAGAATCAATATTGACATAAAACGTTTCATCTCACTTCTTTCCTACTGGGGGTGGGAGACAAAACATTATTGAGGGATGGAAACATAAAACAAACAACCAAATGGTTGAACGAGTGGCTGTGAACAGCTGAATTCATGGGTGTGGAGCCACATGTACGTTATGTACGTCCACACCCCTAACCGCGTTGATTTGATTGACACCAACCTCATGACATCCTATTAATTTGATTGCTACCAAAACCCTATCCCTCGCTACAACTATTCGGGAAAAAAATAAAATAAAATAATATAATTTTTTTCAACAAGTACCGTTTTAACGTTTTGAGCGCGCTTTCACTTTTATATTTTGTTCACGTTTTCGTTCAAATTTTTACTATTTGTTATTTAATTTTGCTGCCTTGTAGCTCCCGCTCTCGAATTTGCTCTTATTCCAGTTCCCGCATCATGTGATTTAAATTACACCTCCTTTTTTTGAGATTCAAATTTATCTAACATATTAACCATTTTATCTTTTTAATGCTTGAAACAATAATAAATGACAAAAATCTTAAAAGATATAGAGAATCAATATTGACATAAAACGTTTCATCTCACTTCTTTCCTACTGGGGGTGGGAGACAAAACATTATTGAGGGATGGAAACATAAAACAAACAACCAAATGGTTGAACGAGTGGCTGTGAACAGCTGAATTCATGGGTGTGGAGCCACATGTACGTTATGTACGTCCACACCCCTAACCGCGTTGATTTGATTGACACCAACCTCATGACATCCTATTAATTTGATTGCTACCAAAACCCTATCCCTCGCTACAACTATTCGGGAAAAAAATAAAATAAAATAATATAATTTTTTTCAACAAGTACCGTTTTAACGTTTTGAGCGCGCTTTCACTTTTATATTTTGTTCACGTTTTCGTTCAAATTTTTACTATTTGTTATTTAATTTTGCTGCCTTGTAGCTCCCGCTCTCGAATTTGCTCTTATTCCAGTTCCCGCATCATGTGATTTAAATTACACCTCCTTTTTTTGAGATTCAAATTTATCTAACATATTAACCATTTTATCTTTTTAATGCTTGAAACAATAATAAATGACAAAAATCTTAAAAGATATAGAGAATCAATATTGACATAAAACGTTTCATCTCACTTCTTTCCTACTGGGGGTGGGAGACAAAACATTATTGAGGGATGGAAACATAAAAGAAACAACCAAATGGTTGAACAAGTGGCTGTGAACAGCTGAATTCATGGGTGTGGAGCCACATGTACGTTATGTACGTCCACACCCCTAACCGCGTTGATTTGATTGACACCAACCTCATGACATCCTATTAATTTGATTGCTACCAAAACCCTATCCCTCGCTACAACTATTCGGGAAAAAAATAAAATAAAATAATATAATTTTTTTCAACAAGTACCGTTTTAACGTTTTGAGCGCGCTTTCACTTTTATATTTTGTTCACGTTTTCGTTCAAATTTTTACTATTTGTTATTTAATTTTGCTGCCTTGTAGCTCCCGCTCTCGAATTTGCTCTTATTCCAGTTCCCGCATCATGTGATTTAAATTACACCTCCTTTTTTTGAGATTCAAATTTATCTAACATATTAACCATTTTATCTTTTTAATGCTTGAAACAATAATAAATGACAAAAATCTTAAAAGATATAGAGAATCAATATTGACATAAAACGTTTCATCTCACTTCTTTCCTACTGGGGGTGGGAGACAAAACATTATTGAGGGATGGAAACATAAAACAAACAACCAAATGGTTGAACGAGTGGCTGTGAACAGCTGAATTCATGGGTGTGGAGCCACATGTACGTTATGTACGTCCACACCCCTAACCGCGTTGATTTGATTGACACCAACCTCATGACATCCTATTAATTTGATTGCTACCAAAACCCTATCCCTCGCTACAACTATTCGGGAAAAAAATAAAATAAAATAATATAATTTTTTTCAACAAGTACCGTTTTAACGTTTTGAGCGCGCTTTCACTTTTATATTTTGTTCATGTTTTCGTTCAAATTTTTACTATTTGTTATTTAATTTTGCTGCCTTGTAGCTCCCGCTCTCGAATTTGCTCTTATTCCAGTTCCCGCATCATGTGATTTAAATTACACCTCCTTTTTTTGAGATTCAAATTTATCTAACATATTAACCATTTTATCTTTTTAATGCTTGAAACAATAATAAATGACAAAAATCTTAAAAGATATAGAGAATCAATATTGACATAAAACGTTTCATCTCACTTCTTTCCTACTGGGGGTGGGAGACAAAACATTATTGAGGGATGGAAACATAAAACAAACAACCAAATGGTTGAACGAGTGGCTGTGAACAGCTGAATTCATGGGTGTGGAGCCACATGTACGTTATGTACGTCCACACCCCTAACCGCGTTGATTTGATTGACACCAACCTCATGACATCCTATTAATTTGATTGCTACCAAAACCCTATCCCTCGCTACAACTATTCGGGAAAAAAATAAAATAAAATAATATAATTTTTTTCAACAAGTACCGTTTTAACGTTTTGAGCGCGATTTCACTTTTATATTTTGTTCATGTTTTCGTTCAAATTTTTACTATTTGTTATTTAATTTTGCTGCCTTGTAGCTCCCGCTCTCGAATTTGCTCTTATTCCAGTTCCCGCATCATGTGATTTAAATTACACCTCTTTTTTTTGAGATTCAAATTTATCTAACATATTAACCATTTTATCTTTTTAATGCTTGAAACAATAATAAATGACAAAAATCTTAAAAGATATAGAGAATCAATATTGACATAAAACGTTTCATCTCACTTCTTTCCTACTGGGGGTGGGAGACAAAACATTATTGAGGGATGGAAACATAAAACAAACAACCAAATGGTTGAACGAGTGGCTGTGAACAGCTGAATTCATGGGTGTGGAGCCACATGTACGTTATGTACGTCCACACCCCTAACCGCGTTGATTTGATTGACACCAACCTCATGACATCCTATTAATTTGATTGCTACCAAAACCTTATCCCTCGCTACAACTATTCGGGAAAAAAATAAAATAAAATAATATAATTTTTTTCAACAAGTACCGTTTTAGCGTTTTGAGCGTGCTTTCACTTTTATATTTTGTTCACGTTTTCGTTCAAATTTTTACTATTTGTTATTTAATTTTGCTGCCTTGTAGCTCCCGCTCTCGAATTTGCTCTTATTCCAGTTCCCGCATCATGTGATTTAAATTACACCTCCTTTTTTTGAGATTCAAATTTATCTAACATATTAACCATTTTATCTTTTTAATGCTTGAAACAATAATAAATGACAAAAATCTTAAAAGATATAGAGAATCAATATTGACATAAAACGTTTCATCTCACTTCTTTCCTACTGGGGTGGGAGACAAAACATTATTGAGGGATGGAAACATAAAACAAACAACCAAATGGTTGAACGAGTGGCTGTGAACCGCTGAATTCATGGGTGTGGAGCCACATGTACGTTATGTACGTCCACACCCCTAACCGCGTTGATTTGATTGACACCAACCTCATGACATCCTATTAATTTGATTGCTACCAAAACCCTATCCCTCGCTACAACTATTCGGGAAAAAAATAAAATAAAATAATATAATTTTTTTCAACAAGTACCGTTTTAACGTTTTGAGCGCGCTTTCACTTTTATATTTTGTTCACGTTTTCGTTCAAATTTTTACTATTTGTTATTTAATTTTGCTGCCTTGTAGCTCCCGCTCTCGAATTTGCTCTTATTCCAGTTCCCGCATCATGTGATTTAAATTACACCTCCTTTTTTTGAGATTCAAATTTATCTAACATATTAACCATTTTATCTTTTTAATGCTTGAAACAATAATAAATGACAAAAATCTTAAAAGATATAGAGAATCAATATTGACATAAAACGTTTCATCTCACTTCTTTCCTACTGGGGTGGGAGACAAAACATTATTGAGGGATGGAAACATAAAACAAACAACCAAATGGTTGAACGAGTGGCTGTGAACCGCTGAATTCATGGGTGTGGAGCCACATGTACGTTATGTACGTCCACACCCCTAACCGCGTTGATTTGATTGACACCAACCTCATGACATCCTATTAATTTGATTGCTACCAAAACCCTATCCCTCGCTACAACTATTCGGGAAAAAAATAAAATAAAATAATATAATTTTTTTCAACAAGTACCGTTTTAACGTTTTGAGCGCGCTTTCACTTTTATATTTTGTTCACGTTTTCGTTCAAATTTTTACTATTTGTTATTTAATTTTGCTGCCTTGTAGCTCCCGCTCTCGAATTTGCTCTTATTCCAGTTCCCGCATCATGTGATTTAAATTACACCTCCTTTTTTTGAGATTCAAATTTATCTAACATATTAACCATTTTATCTTTTTAATGCTTGAAACAATAATAAATGACAAAAATCTTAAAAGATATAGAGAATCAATATTGACATAAAACGTTTCATCTCACTTCTTTCCTACTGGGGGTGGGAGACAAAACATTATTGAGGGATGGAAACATAAAACAAACAATCAAATGGTTGAACGAGTGGCTGTGAACAGCTGAATTCATGGGTGCGGAGCCACATGTACGTTATGTGCTGTTACTCTCAATGTAGTAGTGATTGCAGAGTAGTCCTGCATGCATTCAATTCATGCGACTTTAAGAAGAATGAAATTACTACAACTTACATGAGCTATACCTTCTTAGCTCTTTATTGCTTTGTCAAAAACATTCAGCTTGGACTCGCATAAAAAAATAAATCAATGGTCCAAATTTACAGGCATATTTAATATGATTGTCCCACAACTACTCGCCTAGCTAGCTTCTTCACAATAATTGTTGAACGAAATTATATATATATATATATATATATCTTCATATGCGTAGCTCAGGGAATTTCTCAAAGAAGAGATGTCAACCACCATCATTTTTCTGCTCATCTTGCTTATTCTAATACGTTTTGGAGGCAGTGGAGCGGAAGCAGTAGGAAATGGGTCTATTCCTCACTCCGAAAGTAAGAAGCCTTCAACATTTTTTACTTCATTCCATCATTATTTTCCATTTTTATTTGTCGGTAGATACAACAACATTTGTTAAAAAGTTTAAAATCATAAGGTTTTTTGATATTCAAGTAAGTCTATGTACTTGTCTTATAAATTTATTATATATACTTAGCTTTTTTTCTCTCTCTACTGGTACGCACTTGAATCTCTCTCTCATACACATACATACTAGCAGTGAAATTTCAAAAAATATATATGTAACTGTTTTAAGGTTTGTTTTGACTATCACGTGTTATTGGTGGTTTGTTCACCTTAGTAATATAAATTTTGATTTTCCAGTGAAAGCTCTTGGAGATATAGTTGACGAATTGGGTGGCAAAAACGTTTGGAATTTGAGCGAAAACTACTGTGATGGAAGAAACTGGAATTGGCGACCGCCACTAATTCCCCACGAAATACCTTTGATTCATAACAACAGCGTCAACTGCAGTTGTTCTTATCCCGATGGTGAATGCCACGTCATTAGCATGTATGTGTCCCTTTTCATACTATTAAATACCTTAATTCTCACCTTCATTAATTGAAACTTCAGCAGTAAACCATCAAAATTCTTTCTTTTATTTTTGTCTTATAGGATGTTAATGGATAGAGGTCATCTACGGATTTGATGGATTGGAGAGTACACTGATGGTGAGAAAGAGTGTTGTAGAACGCGTATGACACGTTGTTATGGAGGAAACATTTGAAGAAAAATATTCAATGAATTGTTGTTTTCATAAAAATTCCCTCATTTAAAACCCTAGTTAAATTGATAAATAAGATTGAAGTGGCTGACATTGTCTTCACAAGTAAAATATATCCCTCTCACACACACATATTGACTTGACCATTTTAGGACTTGATTTTATTATGCATTTAAGCTAATAACCTCTATATCAACATGTATTAACCAAATTAAAATAGTGGATTTGAGATTAATTAATGTTTATGCATGAGAATTATTTGAGGGTGGACGTTCTTATACGATAAAAATAAAAAAAAAATTCAAATACCTAAACAAATTAATTTTAACATTAATTGATGATTTCATTGGGTACACTTACAATCCTTGTTAAAGAATTTTTATATTTTGAAAACGTTGCTTGATAGTTGAAGAACAAACCAACCATTACAATCTTCATGAAAGAGAGTGAGGGTTGTGACTTATGAAGTGAAGACTAAAATTTTAGTAGGGGCGGGTTTATAATTAAAGGGAGGTTTAGCTGTTATTTTGAGGGGACATTATTAAGATTTTAATAAAATCATAGATATGAAAATAAATAAATTTTTTTTAGTGGGAGCATTATTAATATTTTTTGTCCCTGTTCATAAGAGAGATTCCTAGCGGCATTATCAAAATTTTCACATTCTCTTCTTTTAATTTGTAAAGGACTTAGTAAGTTAGTTTTGAGATTTGATTTACATAATTTTGAGATGATAGGTGTTTGTTGACTTTTTAAAGTACGAATTATTTAAAATGATAATTTGTGTCCACGAATCACATATTCATGTCGCGTGAATTTAATATTATTTTTTCTATATATATATATGTTCATGATGTCAACATGAATATCAACTCATTTACTCATGGCACAAGTACAACTTAATTTAATAAACATGTAACAGGACAACTCACAGCACAATATTAGCCCATTTAGTAACCTATTAACTTATTTGAATTAAATAAATCACGTAATTATAATAAAAATGAACCAGTATGAAATTTAAATATAATAAAATAATATTCGACTAAATTTATAAAAATGAAAATAATTAATACAGCACAATCACAACTCCATCCCAATACAAAAAAGACCAATTACATACGATATTCATGTTATGTTTACAATTTACAGGCTTATATTATGAAATTCTTACTTTTTAAAGAGAAGTCAGAAATTCGAATCTTAGTGAAATATTTACATTAAAATAATAAAAATGTTCAAAATAATTGAATTAAAATATGTTAAGGGCTAATCAGGATGAAGTAACACGAATCTTACAAAACACAATTACGATAGTCTGTTCAAAATCTTAACACCCTGTCTAACTTTAATAGACAACGTGGCCCAACCAAAGGCCAACACGTGTCTTAAATTAAAAAGTAAATTAGACCCGTTTTAAACGGGTTAACCTGTCTGAAAAGGAATCGTGTCTCTCCCCCCAGGAAATCCTCTCACCGTCTCAGGAAATCCTCTCTCTAACAAAGGCAAGTCCAATAGTACTCATCAACCCTCTTAATAAAGTAGGAAGAAGAGAGGGGATGATGGAGAGCAGCAGTGGTGGTGGGAAGAGAGGAGCGGTGGCGGAGAGAGATGACGAGAGGGTGGTGGCTGCGGAGGTTAAAAATTACGATGTGGGATGAAGGTTGGGTAGCAGAGGATTTCTTTTTGAAATGGTATTACTCATCAACCCTCTCAAGAAATCCCCTATCTCTCTCTCTAACAAAGGCAAGTCCAATAGTCTATCTCTAGCCTATATATCCAAGGGTTTATATATTACATATATATTTGTATATGTATATATATGTAATATAAACTACACATAAAGTAAGAAGAAGAGAGGGGATGATGGAGAGCAGCAGTTGTGGTTGGAAGAGAGGAGCGGTGGCGGTAAGAGGTTTATATAATTTCGCTCAACATTGGGGGAGGGTAGTGTAATTTATCCTTTTAGATCTTTTATCTATTGATAGAGTATCTTGAAAATTGATTTGCATTTCACGTGGAACATTATTCATGCTTTAGATATTTTCTGGTTTCCTATCATTATTCTATATATTTTTCTCATAAAGTAATATGGATGGGATATTATTATCCAGATGATGCCTTAAAAAAGTAAATTAAATCTTGTAATTGATTTTTATTATTCTTCATTAGAGGGCTATAAGGTCCGGAGTGTGTATCATTTATATGTGTTGTCAAGTTTTTGAAAACCAAGTTGATGCATTATACTATTGCTGGCAAGTGTAGGGCACTACTCGTTTGCATTGTTCGGGGTTATTTGAGTGATCAATTACATTTTTTATTTTCATGAGAAATGAAGAACAATTCTCATGTGAAAATGTCATTTTAAAAAGATACAAATATGCCTTGCAATTTGGAGAGCAGTAACAATGATAAAGTGAATGAGAGAGAGTTGAAAAAACCCCAAGGTAGGGACGATTTTTGAGTTTGAGGAAGAAGTTTGTAATTGTTATAAGATGTATGCGAAGCATCAGGGTTTTGGTGTAGCAAAAATAAGTGCAAAAAATAGAAGTGACGGAAAGACAAGTCACTTTTCACTTGCCTGTGCTCGGATTGGTAAGACAACATCAGAGGCAAAAGACTTTTTTCATCCAAGGCCTTCAAATATGACAAATTTTGTGGCCAAAATCAATGTTATATTTAAAGATGATGGGAGATTCATTATTAGTGGTGTCTATCACGATCATAATTATTAGTCCGGGAAAGGCTTGACACTACAGATATAACAAATTATTATTTTCTCATGTCAAAAATAGATTGGGATTGAATGTTTTAACAGGTATAACACTAAGAAAAAGTTTTCATTCACTTATTGTTGAGGCTAGTGGGTATGAGAACTTACTAGTTGGTGAGAGGGAGTGCAGGAACTACATTGCAAAAGCAAGGCAACTGAGACTTGGCATTGGCGATGTTGAAGCCTTTCATAACTATTTTTGTTGCATGCAAAATAGGAATTCAAGTTTCTTTTACATGTTTGATATGGACGAGAAAGGGCACCTAAGGAATATTTTTTGGGCTAACGCTTGGTGTAGAGGCCAATAAAAAAAGGCCACACATAAGTCTTTTGGAGATGTTATCACTTTTGATACTATTTACTTGACATATAAGGATGACATGCCTATTGTTTCGTTTGTTGGGGTGAATTGTCATGGGCAATCTGTTTTGTTTGGTTGTGGTTTGCTATCTGATGGGGATACTTGGTACTTATATTTGGTTGTTTGAGTTATGGTTGACATATATGTTAGGCCATGCTCCAAAAGCTATTATCACATACGAGCGCAAACAATACTTGTCTCCTTACACTTTGGAGGAATCTGCTCCTTACACATGACATGTCAACAATTAACATGCCGACACATCAGTTGTAAGGAGGAAGCTACTCTTCATGTGTAAGGAGACAAGTAGTGAAACTCGGTTGGAAGTTCCGCTATATATGCTGACTCGAATCATGTATTATTGTCCAAACAAAAATTCTGAGCCCCTATTTCTTTGTTAAACAGATTCCTTAAAGGGCAGGACCTTGCTGGTGTGCTACCAAAATCCTTGGCAAAGTTACAATACCTCACAACAATGTAAGGACTAATAGATTTTTATAATTTTTTTAGATCTTCTATTGATTTGAAAATACTCTCTTTGTAGTGATCTCACTCGCAACTATCTCAGTGGTACAATACCCCCGGAATGGGCTTCTACCAAATTGGAATATTTGTGAGCAACTTCTGAACTTCATAGTTTATATTACTATAAGATTAGCCAACACTAATTAATTGTTTTCATGAATTAATTAGAGTGAAAATACTGCATGTTACATGTAGGTCTGTTACTGTCAACCGCTTATCAGGGCCCATCCCAGCCTACTTGGGAAACATTTCAAGTCTCGTTTATATGTATGCTTTCTCTCTCTCTCATACACACAAACACAGAGAGAAACACAAACTATAAAGGAAAATAATTATCAAGAAGTTTTATATGGTTTACCTCTGTAGTAATTCTGATGGAAATTTAATTTTCAGGAGCTTAGAGATCAATCAGTTTAATGGTACTGTTCCACCTGAGCTTGGGAAGCTGACCAACTTGGTGAATCTGTGAGTCCTGTCTCATATATGTGTGTGTCATATTTGTTACGCTATTCTAGATTTTTAACTAATTGCATAATCTTTATAACCTTTGGTCAATGTAGAATTCTCAGTGGTAACAATCTCACTGGAGAGTTGCCAATGGAGCTAACCAGTCTAACCAAACTGGAAGAACTGTGAGTTTATAGCGACCTTTATAATATTAAAATTATAAGAATTGAAGTTGTATAAAAACAAATAAGTGTTTTTGTAATCTTAACTCATCTCTATTTTGGGCCAATGCAGTAGGTTAAGCGAAAACAACTTTAATGGAATATTACCCAGTTTTCAAAGTTGGAAAAAACTTCGGATGTTGTAAGTGTTCTTAACTTTTAAAGTATCCAATAATTTTTTTGAAGTTAAAGGCCTACATGTTCAGTTTTGCAAGAATACTTTTTGTGTTCCCAGGTAACAGAAAGTGTGGAAGTAGTTTAAAAATTATTTTAGTTGCCAGTTTCCTCAAACTTATATCTGATAACGGAGTTACAAAAAGTTTGAATATCACTAAACAGACCTTTTTACTTCTCTGAAAACTGCTTTTTCTGGTGCAATTTTTCACATTTGATACTTGTTGTCAACAGAGAGATTCTAGCTGGTGGCTTTGAAGGACCCATACCTTCTAGCATTTCTGTCTTAAACCTAACTGAATTGTGAGTCAAACCTTTTCAGCTCATATTTCTTGAAATGTTTGATTTCAGTAACATCCTCTTGTTCTTTTCATAAAAGGATGAATAATGTGGAAAGCAATTATTCTTGAATGGTTCTCTGTGCAGAAGGATCAGTGACTTACATGAAGGAAAGTCAGTTTCAATTTTTCCGCAGCTAGGAAAGATGAAAGGAATGTTATATTTGTGAGTCATGCATGCTAACATTGAAAAATGATCAAAGTATGATCATTTGTAGTCCCCTGCAATCATGCATACTAATGATTGAAAAATGATCAAAATATTATCATTTGTAGTCCCCTGCAATAATACTTGTATGTATCTGGTTTATGTTGCAGGGTGTTGAGGAGCTGTAATATATCCGGAGCAATCCCCGAATATATAGCAGAAATGAACGACTTGAAATATTTGTAACTCTATTACTTCTTTTTTTCTGAATTTTTTTCTATTTCCTTTTCATTCATGACAAGTGCATCATATCTTTGATTAGTATCAATTTCCTCAAAATCAAGTTAACATCTATACGTATTTGCTAAATATGTCAATAAGGTGGATTGTGGAGGTAAAAGATTAATTTCGTCCGCTATCGTGGTCTTTACTGCTTTCACTGAGTGTTGACCCTTCAGACCAAGAATCTTGGCACAGATATGGTATGGGAGAAAAAGAGGGAAACTCAAAACTGTTGAATACAAGAGATTGTTCACTCTGGAACTACTAGTGAGTACATATATTATTAGGGAAGGAGATCATACTAATACTAGTTTATTGAATAATCATCTCCAAGCTTATGGAGGGACTTTTTGTCACATCAAATATATCTGAAGAAGATCGTCCACATTTAATTTGAAAATTTTTGCCTTTAGGATGAACCAATTCTCCCTTGCCTTGGGAAGAACTAGACTTCTAATCCTTTGGCCATTTTTTCATCCCTAGGAGAGTTGACTTCATGTTCACAATTTGGTTTGGGACTAAGGCCTCTCCAAACCCTCATTACCACTTCTCCAACCACCTTCTTTTTTTTTTTTTTTTTGCTTGAATTACACTTCTCCAAATGCCTTTGTGAGATGTATTGTCTTTGTTAGGTTTGTATTGCACTATCTATGTATTTGCATTCAATCTTAATAAACATTTGTTTCCCCTTATTGGCTTTTAGTGTAACAGTGGCCTTGTTATTCTGTGGCAGAGACCTCAGCTTCAACAAATTGGAAGGGAAAATTCCAAACCTTCAAGGACTCACAAATTTGAAAAACATGTAAGTAACTAATTCAGTAGGGAAACCTGCCATGTAATTAATTCTTGATGCACAGAAGTCTTCCTTGTAAATTTTTGTATGTTGTTGGGCAATGCCTTATTGTGTTGATCCGTGCATGATTATTCCAACCTTGGTAATAAGAAGCCTTGTTATATGTAGAAAAAGCCTTCCTATACTTTATATTAGATTATCTCATAGATTTTAGAAGTTAATGTCACTTATGTTTTATTCCGCATTACATTTTGAATAATAGCAATGTAAATGTTTATTTAATTGGAATGAAAATTTTGAACACTGATTAGGTATCTGACAAGCAACCTGCTTTCTGGACCTATTCCACGGTGGATCAGCAGCAGAGGTTCTGACTAGTAAGTTTTTTATCCAGAATTTATACCAGTTTTGCATGAGACCTTATTCTTTTTTATAATTTAATATTCTAATTGTTAAATACAGTAGATATATGCCAATACGTGTATATAGATAGACATGATTCATCCACTGATTGACAGTGGTTTAAACTTTAACCCATGATCTCTTTGGGGGTCAGTCTCCAGTGCCGTTTCTGCCTCGTGCTTTTGTTGCCAAGAACATAATTCAGCAGGGTCCGGATTTGCTTTACGATGGTTTAGGTAATGAGAGAGAAAAAGAAAGCCCAAAAGAATATGAAGAAAAATGGGCTGTTGAGAAACGACTTAAGCAAAAGGTCATAGACTGTTAAAAGTGACATTTCTGGCAAAATTGATCAATTTTCAGTTCCACTCTTCTGCTAATATATAATTGATATGGCTTTTAAATTGTTAGTAATATGTCGCTTGATTTATTTATTTATTTTCTGTCATTTTTGGGGGACTTAAAATGAGTTAAATATTACTCCGTAATATATTTCTGTGCAGCCATATTAATATATTTTTATGCAGCCAGATAGATCTCTCTTACAATAACTTTTCTGAGGACTCTGTACCGAATTTTTGTCCGGATAGCCTGTAAGTATCTTTTTCCCTTCTTGATTTCAGCTTCCCTGAGCTTCAGCTGCATATCTTTTCTTCATTCACTTATTATTCCGTTAATATAAAGTTTGGTCTGTTGTTTATTAGAAACTTGTACAGGAGCTTCTCTAAAGGGAACAACTCGTAAGCTTCTAACTTATTTGTTTGAACTTTGAAGGGCTGCTATATGTTTTAATTCACTTCTATATTTCATAACTTTGCTTCCTAACCTTTTCTCATACTACATTGATTTAGAGAATTGGGAAAGTGCATGAAGGATTATCCTTGTTCAGTAGGTAAGTATATATTTGTCAGAATTACAATGTGATGGTTATGCTTAAATTTATTTTTTAGATACATCTTCAAGCCTTATCTGTTGATACTTAAACAGGCTGCAAATTCAATTGGTTGACCTTTCATGTTGTATAGGAAAGTATTTTCTTTAAATGTATATCTACAGATATACGGCATAGTTTTTTTTTTTTCCCCCCGATTTTTCTCTGTGGTCTTCCTTTTATGTTTCATCATTTTTTATAACTATTAATATGTTATTCTTTGGTGAAGACCAATATTCATTCCATATCAACTGTGGAGGAGCAAACATTACCATCGGAAACACCACTTATGAAGCGGATGAAGACCTAGGGAATGCAGCAAGATTTGTTCCTAAAAGAGCAATTTGGGGAACTAGTATGAGTGGAGACTTCTGGAAACGTGACATAGTTACTTACATTGCAGAAAATGTATCTGTCTTGAGAATGAATGACTCTGGCTTGTACACAAGGGCTCGCCTGTCTCCTCTATCTCTCACTTATTATGGGCGTTGCTTGGCAAATGGGAACTATACTGTGAAACTCCACTTTGCTGAGATAATATTCAGAGATAACCGATCTTTTCAGAATCTTGGAAGACGGATGTTTGATGTTTATATTCAGGTAGTTAATAACATTATAACTGGAATTTTAGTATGCAATGCAACTATGATTGATTAAATTAGTTTGTTACAGGATGAGCTAGTTTTGAAGGATTTCGATATTGAACATGAAGCACGAGGGGTTGATAAGGCGTATGTAAAGAAATCGAAAGCAATTGTGAAGGATAAAACTTTAGAGATTCGCTTTCATTGGGCTGGGAAAGGAACAACAGCTGTCCCTTTTAGAGGAAGCTATGGCCCTCTCGTGTCAGCTATTTCTGTGGAATCTGGTAAGTCATGCTGTGTGAATACTTCACTAATCTTTCTTATAGTGCATCGGTACTGTCGCTGTGCGTGGGTAGGTAAGACACACGCTATTGTATCAATGGGGACTTGAAACCATTTATGAAAAAAATATGGGGACTTGAAACCCTTAGCCTCCTTTGTGGGAAGGAGGAGGTACCATTAGACAATGGCGAATCCAGGAATTGTTAATGGGGGGGCTAATATTAAACAAGGGACAATTGGGAATCGAAAGATTAAAGAGTTGGAAAATTTTAAAGGAAATAGGGTTAGATTTTAAAGGAAGAGAAGGAGTGAGCTTTTTGATTTATGCAAGATTAAGAATTTAGGAGTTCTCTGTGCTTTGGCTTAGTGATTGTTTTGGGCTTGTTTGGCTTGAGCCTATTTGGTTGGGCATTTGTTTTAAAATTGTGGCTTAGATATTGGGCTTGTTTGGATGGGTTAAAATTGGGGGCTAATACTACTACTAATTTTTTTCTTTTTTAAAATATTGGGCTAAATATACCTATACTAAAAATAAAATAAGATCTGCCACTGCCATTAGAGATTAATGCTCAGTCATGTCTACAGTATTAGGAGGTCTGCTAATATTAATACACATCAGGTGAAGAAGCTTTTCCTTGACATCAACATGCGAAATGTGAAATTGTTTCCCTGAATAAATGTGAAAATTTTAAACCAGGCTAATTTGAAACTTGGGAGAACACAAAATATTCAGTGCCTTTTTTTTCTTCTCTTGCAGTTTTATATTTATTTGAGTTATCCAATAAAATTTATCATTGGAATTTCAAATATTTTGATTGTTTGGCTGCAGACAAAACTTTATGCAATTTAACTGCTTTTGTTTTGTATAGACAACCCTCCTGAGCGGATATCCATTACAAACAACCCTCCTGATGCCAAAAAGAAGATATGGATTATAGTTGGAGCTGTGGCTTCGGCATTATGCCTCATTCTCATAGGTCTCGGTGTTCTTTGGTGGAAAGGCTTTTATGGGAACAGAACCTCAAGGGAACAAGGTGGTGTATCTACTGCATGAAGTTTGTTTTGGAATAAATAACAGAAACTTTTCAATATATTTTCTATTGAGATGACCTTGAAGCACTGTATGACAGATTAGAATAGTTCTTACGCCTCTTTTAGAACAGATGCAGATTATGACTATTCAATTTAAGCACCGATACAAAATGAACTCACCTTTTATTTGTAGACTGCAACCATCCTCCAAAATAGGAAGTTCATAAATTTAAATTAGAAATCAATTTATTTATCCAAAAGAGTGATTAATCTGAGAGAGAGAGACAGAGAAGGGGAGGTATATTGGGGACACCTGATTTAAAGCGAATCTGGCTTCTAATTTCTCAAGCCCACTTGAGCCTGATCTTTACTGATTAGTAGTCTTTCTAGGATCCTAAAATGTCCACGTGTTATCATATATATAGTAGTAATAACAAATAGACATATCTCAAAATTCTGAGGAAAATGAATGGTATATGGGGTTTTTTTTTTTTTTTTTTTTTTCTTCTTCTATTTCTGATTATGTTGATGTAATTTTCTAACTCCACTTTATGGCTGGCCCCAATAGTTGAAAATTCAAGTTGAGTTCTGAGTTGAGTTCTGAATCATGCCTTCTTCTCTATTTGATTACTTAGACAAAAATAGAATAGTTTGAGGTTTCTGTAGTGCTGTTGGTTACAGATATTATTTATTTCCAACAAATTTTCTGCAATCAAACAAGACATTAGCGGGAAAAAAAAAAAAGGACATTAGCTTTTTCTAATTGTGGTTCTTGATCTCATTCTTTCAAAGAATTTCCTTTAGTCAATATGCACTAATTCAGCTAAAAGCCAAATTACTACTTTGTAAGATGGGATTCCACATCTTAACCTTATTCTTCTACAGATCTGAGAGGATTAGACCTGCAAACTGGGTTATTTACCTTTAGACAAATTAAAGCTGCCACTAACAACTTTGATATTGCAAACAAGTTAGGAGAAGGTGGTTTTGGATCTGTCTACAAGGTATATACTGAGTCCTTATTTTATTTTTATTTATTTATTTTTTTTTCTCGCTTGTTTAAGCCTTTTGTTTTTGTGGTTATGACATTTGGAGAACAATATTACTTATTAAAGGCTTCTCACTTCTATTACATTGCAGGGTATACTATTGGATGGTACCGTAATTGCAGTCAAGCAACTTTCTTCCCGATCAAAACAAGGAAATCGTGAATTCGTGAATGAAATAGGCATGATTTCTGGTTTACAGCACCCTAATCTTGTAAGATTGTATGGATGTTGTGTTGAACGTAATCAATTACTATTGGTATATGAATACATGGAGAACAATAGCCTCGCCAATGCTTTGTTTGGTAAGTTGATGTTTTATTTCATCGTGCATGTTATGTTAATTAGACTGAATAAGAATAAGTTTTAAACAATATGACTATTTTACCAACAATCAATATGGTAGATTTATTTTGATCAGACTATGAATGCTAATTGCAGGTCCAGAGGAAGGAAAATTGAAATTGGATTGGTCTTCAAGGCAAAGAATTTGTATTGGTATAGCAAAAGGCCTAGCCTTCCTACATGAGGAATCTATACTGAAAATTGTGCATAGAGACATCAAGGGTACCAATGTACTGCTTGATAGGGATCTTAACCCTAAAATCTCTGACTTTGGTTTGGCCAAGCTTGACGAAGAGGAGAACACCCACATTAGCACCAGAATTGCTGGAACCATGTGAGTTTCCAATTCATTCTTTCTTTCAAGAATTTAACATTGTTGCATTCTTTTAGAAATGCACATCATGCCACCTAAAAATGGGCAACAATCATATTATTTCATCTCTTAATGATGACTACTTGTGGACATGAATGGTGTTGGCTGAAATTACACTGTCGAGTTGCTTTCCTAAAAGTAACCAAAATAGGGCAGCTTTCAAAATATTTCAGGTAGACAAATTTACTTGTGTTTCTATATTAGCAGTGTAACCATACTTGTGAAAAGCTTGTTAGCTGCATGAACTGCCATTCTTGAATGATTTTCAAATTATGAGAACTAGTTCATATGGAAATGTTGGACAATGGGTGATGGTCATCTATATCTTGATGGTCAACATGAAATCTGTCTGTACAAATGCTTAGCCAACCCATGGTAGCTTTAACGGAGGAAGGGGGCGCTGCTTTATAATAGCTGGTATCACGTGTGAATGATACATGAATTGCAGTGCAGGTCACATTGGATCAAGTAGAAATAACAATGCACCCCGCCATACCCATACCAATATCTAACCGTCTTTGTGCTTTGCTTGGTTGTGTATCCACTCTTAAGTGGATGTTGTCTTTTTTTCTCCTGCTGGGAGTTTTTTGCTACAATTGATTTTGTTCTTATGTTCTAAGCTGTTCATTTCATTTTCTTTTTTCTTTTTTTTCTGTGTTGCTCAATCTCAGTAACTTTTTTAAAGTTAAGATTCCTTCTATTGTGACAAACCTATTGATTTTAATTTTCTCACGTGCAATGAACTAATGAACTTTTCTCCATATTTTGATAGCGATATAAATTTCGTGAATGATTTCCCAACTGCAGGTAGAAGCATATGGTGGCATTTGGCACTTCAATTGTCATACACCTTTTTTTTTTTTTCCTGAATAACAGAACAATATTTGTTGTGCAGAGGGTACATGGCACCAGAATATGCATTATGGGGTTACTTGACCTACAAAGCAGATGTGTATAGTTTTGGAGTTGTTGCATTGGAAATTGTTGCTGGAAAGAACAACATGAAATATCGTCCCGATGAGAACTATGTCTGTCTTCTTGATTGGGTAAGAATATCAGCTACTTCTTTGAATGCATTTGATTAACAGTTTTAAAAAACCAGTTTGCTTCTTGCTTTGGGACCTATCCATTTGGCTTAGTCAATTTTTTGCAGTTCAAAAAGGGTAGAAAACAAAAATAATTTATTTATTCGTCCAATTGTAGGTATCACTTGTATGAGTCATGCTCAGTACACTTATTAGTATTTTAGTGACATTACCCAGTGACTTGTGCTTATTTCAGGCATATGTTTTACAACAAAAAGGAAATGTAATGGAGTTGGTGGATCCACAACTGGATTCGAATTTCAACAAAGAAGAGGCATTAAGAATGATCCAAGTCGCACTGTTATGCACTAATCCATCTCCAGCACTTAGGCCTACCATGTCTTCAGTAGTAAGCATGCTTGAGGGTCGTATCGATGTTCAGAATTTAATTGCAGATCCAAATATCTACGGTGATGATTTAAGGTTCAAAGGTCTCAGAGACAAGTATGATGAGCTGAAACTCCATAGCTCAAGTGACACTCAGACCTTGTTTGATTCGTCAGAAGTAACAACACAAAATGCCTCTTCCTCCACATCTGCCCAGGATCTCTATCGAATCGATTTTTCTTCCCAGTAACAAATGAATAGTGAGAACAATTCTATGATAGCCTAGGGAGTTGGTTGCATAGATAGAAATTTCAAAGTGCTTTTCCTAGCTTAGAAAGCAAAATATATGCAGTAATTTCTTCGTATCATTCCTCCATCCTACAGAAAAACAAAGTAGTCAAAGCGTGTGTGATTTTGTATCTCATCATAATCATAACGTTTGTGTGTAATGCTCTGCCTATTGTTATACACTTACAATTGTCTCCTTGCATGACTCTGTTCATTAGTAGCAAAAGGTTAGACCAACAAAATCTGTGTAATAATAAGATGGCAAAATACTGATTATTTTATTGATAAAAAGTATATTGATTGAACTTTTAATACTGTATTTAATGCATTCATGGTATTGATAAAAAAAAAATAAAAAATAAAAAAACGAATTTCTTATATGAACAAATCTATAATGAGAAAGCTCTCGTCATCATGACTTATACTCTCTTGTTTTTCTTCTAACATTATCCTTCCAAATTCAGTTTTTGTTATATTAATTTTCGTGTTAAGTTTCAATTAGAATCAAGAATATTAAATATTGTAAAAATTTGATAATCTTGCAAAGGAAGTATTCAAGTGAAATGATTACTAGCAGTGACAGTTAAAACAAATAATAAGACTTAAACTCTCAACTTTTAATTTTAGAATCTGAATTAAATATCGATAAAAAAAAATAATAATAATAAAAAAAGGAATTTCTTATATGAGCAAATCTATAATGAGAAAGCTCTCATCATGATGAACTTATACTCTCTTTTTTTCTTCTAACGTTATCCTTTCAAATTCAGTTTTTGTTATATTAATTTTCGTGTTAACTTTCAATTAGAATCAAGAATATTAAATATTGTAAATATTTGATAATCTTGCAAAGGAAGTATTCAAGTGAAATGATTACTAGCAGTGACAATTAAAAACAATAATAAGACATGAACTCTCAACTTTTAATTTTAGAATCTGGATTAAATATCGGACATTGAAAGGTGGAATTATGAAAGCCTCTTATATATTAATTATGTAAATTCTTCGTTTGACAAAAAAAAAAAAACAAAAATACCATGTTGAGAATTGACTTGGTTTGTTTTCAAAACAAAAAATAAAAAAAATAAAAAATTGACTTCACTATTTTCATTATGAAAGCAATGCTACATTATTTTAATAGTCATTAACAGAGCATCAGCATGAGTGAATTGTTCTCATCTCCACAACCTTAAACGAATTGATTTGACTGATATATATATATATATATAGTATGAACCATTATATGCAAGTAGAAATAAAATAGTGGCCAAATGTTTCGTTTTCAATAATAATTTTTTTATATAGCACTGATTGCAGAGTCTTGATTTGCATGAATGACTTTAACAAGAATGAAAATGACCTGAACCATAAATTAAATAAATTAATTCCTTTGTCAAAAACAAGTAGCTTGACTTGCATACAAATTACTATACATTATACTAACACCAACTCTCCACTTTATTTAATAAGAGTGCTGGTCCCACAAGTCACCTTCTTCAATATAATTGTTGGATATATATATATATATATATATATATATATATATATATATTCACGTATGTATAGCTCAAGGAATTAATCAAGGAGGAGATGCCTAGCACCATTTTTGTTTGGCTTATCTTGCTTATACTAAGATGTATTTTTGGAGCAAGTGGAGCTCAAGCAAGCAATGGGACTCTTCCTGAGGATGAAAGTAAGAAAGTCTTCTACATTTTTATTTCATTCAGTCTTTTCCATTTTGAGATTCAAGTTAACATACACAATTTTTTTCCTTCTCCTTAAATTTGTTCATAGTTTTATTACATATTTTTCACACACTAATCATACATATAGGAAGTTTGACCATGCTTGTACTTGCACTACATAAGTTTTTTAAACTTTTAAATAAATGATTGCTAACAATGATATTGAACTCAAAAATATATTGGAATCCAAGTTTTCAAGATATGATCATAGAGTTCTAGCAATATCACATATGAATCTGATTTACTATAAAATAAATCCATCTCGCTAGTTTACTTTAATATTCCTTGTAAGTTCAATTTTTTCTCTTTCTTGGAGTGAAATTCCAGAAAATATGATATATATATATATATATATATATATATATATATATATATATAACTGTGTTAAGGTGTTCATTTAGGTTCTAACTTGCAACTTTGTTTGGATCTTCAAGTATTATTGGTGCAAATTAAATAGATGGTTTGTTCACCTTAATTGTATGAATTTTGATTTTGCAGTGAATGCTCTTCGGGAAATAGCTGCACAATTGGGGAAAAAAGATTGGGATTTCAGGCTGAACCCTTGTGATACCAGGAACTCGAACTGGCAAACACCAAGACCCAACGAAACACCACTCATTCATAACAACACTCTCAACTGCAATTGCTCTTTTCCTAATGGCGTATGCCACGTCATTAGCATGTATGCGCTTGATATATATATATATATATATGTATCTATTTATCGTGAATTTGTGTTAGCTTAAACTTAATAAAAAAGAAATCAAAATTCTTTGTTCATTCTCCTTTTACATTTACTAAAATCCATCAAGAGGGAGTACTATAGTAGTATGTAAAAGTGTCTGTATTAGTATATAGTCTACGCCACTTGTTAGTCACAATATGAAATTCTTATTATATATGTGGTGACGTGTGGGCTCTTCAATGGTGGAGTCAATGAGAAAGTATTAACTAAGAATAATGTTGGTAAATGTGAATCTCTGTTTATTTAATATTAGTATTTTTTTACTGTATATGCTGACTAGGATTGTATAATATGTTCAAACTAAAATTCGAGCCCCTGTTTCTTTGAAAAACAGATTTCTTAAAGGGCAGGACCTTGCTGGTGTGCTACCGCCATCTTTGGTAAAGTTACCATACATCAAGACAATGTAAGAAGAATTAGTCCATTTATATACATATATATATATATATATACATATACATGTATATTTTGTATTTAACTTGAAAATATATTGTGCTCTTTGTAGTGATTTCACTCGCAACTATCTCAGTGGTACAATACCCCAGGAATGGGCTTCTACCAAATTGGAATATATGTGAGCAATTTCTGAAATTCATGGTTTATCTGACTATAAGATTTTAGCCAAACACTAATTAATTAATTGTTTTCTTGAATTAATTAGTGTCAAAATACTGCATGTAGGTCTCTTACTATCAACCGCTTATCAGGACCCATCCCACCCTACTTGGGAAACATTACAACTCTCGTTTATCTGTATGTACACAAACACACTTTCTCTCACACACAAACAAACAGAAACTGTAATTATGATGGAAATTTAATTTTCAGGAGCTTAGAGATAAATCAATTTAGTGGTACCGTTCCAGCTGAGCTTGGGAAGCTGCCCAACTTGGTGAATCTGTCAGTCCTTTCTCATATATATATATATATGTATAGTTATTCTAGATTTTTAACTAATTGCATAATTTTTGTAACCTTTGGTCAATGTAGAATTCTCAATGACAACAATCTCACGGGAGAGTTGCCAATGGAGCTCAGCAATCTAACCAAATTGACAGAACTGTGAGTGTATTAGTGGCCTATATAATGTTGTAATCATATGAATTGAAGGGATTTTTTTTTTTTAAAAGTTCGAGCAAACACGCACACTCACAATATTAGCCTTACCCTAGCAGGGCTTGAACACTCCACCTCCCATTTGAGGAGGAGAGTTCATATGATCTGGACAAATGGCTCATTGGTTATAAGAGTTCATATGGTAGCACTGAATCGGAATTTCTCCTCTTTCAATTCCAATGCTCCGATTCGGTGCTCCCAAATGCACCGTGATGTTTTGGTAATCTTAACTCTTCTCTAATGCAGTAGGTTAAGCGGCAACAACTTTACTGGAACATTACCCAGTTTCCAAAGTTGGAAACAACTTCTGATGTTGTAAGTATTAACTGTTAAAGTATACATTGTTCAGTTTTACAAGAATACTTTTGTTCTTAGGTAACAGAAAATAAAGAAGTAGTTCAAAAGTTCTTTTCAGTTGCTACTTTCCTCAAACAGTTATCTGAAATTAGAGTTACAAAAAGTTAGAATTTCACTGAACAGCCCATTTTAGTTCTCTGAAACCTGCTTTTTCTGGTGCGTTTTACACATTTGATACTTCTTGTCAACAGAGAGATACAAGCTGGTGGTTTCGAAGGACCCATACCTTCTAGCATTTCTGTCTTAAATTACTTAACCGAATTGTGAGTTAAACATTTTCAGGTCACATTTCTAGAGATTTTTTATTTTCTTTCAGTAACATCCTCTGGTGCTTTTCAGAAAAGATAATTAATGTGGGAAGCAATTATTCTTGACCGGTTCCCTGTGCAGAAGGATCAGTGACTTATATGGAGGAAATCCAGTTTCAGCTTTTCCGCAGCTAGGAGACATGAAAGGAATGCAATATTTGTGAGTCATGCATACTAACATTGAAAAATGATCAAAGTATGGTCATTTGTAGTCCCCTGCAATAATACTTGTATGTATCTGGTTTATGTTGCAGGATTTTGAGGAGCTGCAATATATCTGATGCAATCCCTGAATATATAGCAGAAATGAAAGAGTTGAAATATTTGTAATTCTATTACTTCTTGTTTTCTGAATTCTTTAATTTCCTTTTCATTCATGACAAGTGCATCTTTGATTAGTATGAACTTCCTAGAAATCTAGTAAACATCTGTATGTATTTGCTAACTGTATCAATAATGCAGAGGTAAAGGATTAATTTCATCCACTATCGTGGTCTTTACTTGTTTCACTGTGTGCTAAGATCCTGCAGACTAAGAATCTTGGCACAGATATGGTATGGGAGAAAAAAAGGGAAACTCAAAACTGTCTAATGCAAGAGATTGCTCACTCTGAATTACTACTGAGTAATATATATGCAGTTATTAGCTAAGGAGTTCATACTAATTCTAGTGACTAGTCTACTGAGTAATATATATATGTGTGTGTGTGTGCAGTTATTGGTTTTTACTTATTAGTATGACAAAGGATTTTTTTTTTTTTTTCGGCAGAGACCTCAGCTTCAATAAGTTGGAAGGGGAGATTCCAAACCTTGACGGACTCACAAATGTGACGGACATGTAAGTAACTAAATTCAGTAGGGCAACCTGCCATTTAATTAATTCTTGATGTACATGAGTCTTCCTTGTAAATTTTTGTATGTAGTTTGGCAATGCCTTATTGTGTTGATCCACGCATGACTGTTCCAACCTTGGTTTTCTTTCAAATGGTAGTATAATAAAAAGCCTTTTTATTATGTAGAAAAAGCCTTCCTATACTTCATATTAAGATTATCTCACAGATTTATGAAGTTCGTCCCACTTATGTTTTATTTTGCATTACATATTGGAATTTCACAGATATTTGATGTTCATGCCACTTATGTTTTTTTCTGCATTACATATTGGAATAATTGCAATATTAATGTAATTGGAATGCGACTGTTGATCACTGATTAGGTATCTGACAAGCAACCTGCTTTCTGGACCTATACCGGAGTGGATCAAGGGGAGAGGTCCTAGCTAGTAAGTTCTTCATCCTGAATTCTTTTTAGTTTAATATTCTAATTTTTATATTCATGGATACAGTAGATATGTGCCAATACGTATATACACACAAAATTCATTCACTGATCGAGTCTCCAGTGCTGTTTCTGCCTCATGCATTGGTGAAGCAATCCTTATTGCTTACTGTTCTGCTTGCTTTGTCATCTGTGTGCAACTTGTGAACAGAAAAAAGAAAAAAGAAAAACAGAAGAAGAAGAAGAAGGATCCAAGATTAATTGGATTCTACTCTTCATTGTTGGATGCTCGATGTTTGACCCACATGGAAATTTTGTTGCCAATAACACAATTCAGCAGGGTCTGGATTTGCTTTACGATGGTTTAGGTAATAAGAAAGAAAAATAAAGCCCAAATGAATATGATCAAAAATGAGCTGCTGAACTACTACTTATGAAAAAGGTCATAGACTGTTAAAGTGACATTTCTTCCAAAATTAGATCAATTCCAATCTTCTGCTAATATGTCTCTTGATCTTTTCATTTCTTTTCTTTTTTTCCCGTGATTTTTAAGGGACTTAAAAATGAGTTTAATATTAATATATTTTTGTGCAGCCATATAGATCTCTCTTACAATAACTTTTCGGAGGACTCTGTACCGAATTTCTGTCCGGATAGCCTGTAAGTATCTTTTTCCCTTCTTGATTTCAGCTTCCCTGAGATTGAGCTGCATACCTTTTCTTCATTCACTTTTAATTCTGTTAATATAAAGTTTGGTCCGTTGTTTATTAGAAACTTGTTCAGAAGCTTCTCAAGTGGGAACAACTTGTAAGCTTCTAACTTATTTGTGTTGAACTTTGAAGAGCTGCGATATATTTTAGTTCGCTTTTATTATGTATAACTTTGCATCTTAACCTTTTTCTCATACTACATCGATTTAGGGAATTGGGAAAGTGCTTGAAGGAATATTATCCTTGTTCAGAAAGTAAGTATATATTATTCAGAATTACAATGTGATGGTTATGCTTAAAATTATATTTTAGATACATCCTCAAGCCCTATCTGTTGATACTTAAACAGGCTGCAAGTTCACTTGGTTGACCTTTCATTTTGTATAGGAAAATATTTTTATTAAATATCAATATACATATATACAACATAGGTAATTTTTTTTTTTTTTTATCAAATTTTCTCTCTGGTCTTCTTTTTGTGCTCCATCATTTTTTTATAACCATTGATATGTTGCTTCCTTGCTGAAGACCAATATTCATTTCATATCAATTGCGGCGGAGCAAAAATTACTATCGGAAATACCACTTATGAAGCAGATGAAGACCCAGGAAATTCAGCAAAATTTGTTCCTAAAGTAGCAAATTGGGGAACTAGTACCACTGGGGACTTCTGGAGACGTGAGGCAGATAAAGATTACATAGCGAAAAATGTATCTGTCTTGACAATGAATGACTCTGACTTGTACACAAGGGCTCGCCTGTCTCCTCTATCTCTCACTTATTATGGGCGTTGCTTGGCAAATGGGAACTATACTGTGACACTCCACTTTGCTGAGATAATTTTCAGAGATAACCGATCTTTTCAGAGTCTTGGAAGACGGATGTTTCATGTTTATATACAGGTAGTTAATAACATTATAACTGCAATTTTAGTATGCAACGAAACTATGTTTGATTAAATCAGTTTGTTGCAGAATGAGCTAGTTTTGCAGGATTTTGATATTGAACGTGAAGCACAAGGGGTTGATAAGGTGTTTATAAAGAAATTGAAAACAATTGTGAAGGATAAAACTTTAGAAATTCGCTTTCAGTGGGCTGGGAAAGGAACAACAGCCGTCCCTATTAGAGGAACCTATGGCCCTCTTGTATCAGCAATTTCTGTGGAATCTGGTAAGTCGTGCACTCGTGCTGTGTGAAGACTTCATTAATCATTCTTATAATTAAGCATTGGTACTCTATCTCTCTCTCTCTCTCTCTGGGTAGGTAAGACACACACCACTTTTGCATCAATGGGGACTTGAAACCCTCAGCCTCCTATGTGGGAAGGAGGAGATAACACTAGAGCTAAATGCTCGATCATGTCTACCGTATTAGAAGACCTACAAAATATTAATACATATCAATGATGAAGTTTTTCCTTGACTTCAACACGCGAATGTGAAAATTTTAAACCAGGCTAATTTGAAAGTAGGGAGAACACAAAAGATTCAATGCCTTTTCTTCTTCTCCTACAGTTCTATATTTTATTTGAGTTATCAAATAAAACTTTATCATTGGAATTTCAAATATTTGATTATTCTGGATGCCGACAGAAGTAGTGTATGCAATTTAACAGTCTATCTTATCTGCTTTTGTTTTTTATAGACAACCCTCCTGATGGAGAAAAGAAGATATCCATTATAGTTGGAGCTGTGGCTTCGGCATTATTCTTCATTCTCGTAGTTCTTGGTATTGCTTGGTGGAAAGGCGTTTTTGGGAACAGAAACTCAAGGGAACAAGGTAGTGTAATCTACTGCATGAAGTTTGATTTGGAATGGATAACCAGAACTTTTCAATCTCTATTCTATTGAGATGACCTCGGAACACTGTAGGACAGATTATAATAGTTCTTTATGAACCTTTTAGAACAGATGCAGATATGGCTATTCAATTTAAAGTATTATACCAAATGAACTCACATATTATTTGTAGGCTGCAACCATCATCCAAATTAGGGAGTTCACAATTTTATAGTAAAGTAGAAATCAGTTTATTTTTTCCGGAAAAGAATGATTATTCGAAGAGAGAGTATGTTTTAATTTCTCAAGCCCACTTGACCCTGAGCTTTACTGATTACTAGTCTTTCTAGGATCCTAAAATGCCTATGTCAAATTCTGAGGGAAAGGAATGGTATATGGTTCTTTTTCTATTTCTGATGATATGTAACTTGCTAACTCAAGTTGAAAATTCAAGTTATGAAAATTCAAGTTGTGTTCCGAATAATTCCTTCTCCTCTATTTGATTACTAAGACAAATATACAATAGGTTTAGGTTTCTGTAGTGCTGTTGGTTACAGATTTTTTTGTTTCCTACAACTTTTCTGCAATCAAACAAGACATTAGCTGTTTCTAAATGCATATCTTGATCCAGTTCTTTCCAAACTTTGCCCTTTTAATCAAGACGCACTTGTATATTCAGCTAAAAGCAAAATTACTACTTTGTAAGATGCAATTCAACTTCTTAACCTAGTTCTTCTACAGATCTGAGAGGATTAGACTTGCAAACTGGATTATTTACCTTTAGACAAATTAAAGCCGCCACTAATAACTTTGATATTGCAAACAAGATAGGAGAAGGTGGTTTTGGATCTGTCTACAAGGTATATATTGAGCCCTTTTTCTTTTCTTGTGTGTGTGTGTGTGTGTGTGTTTTTTTTTTTTTCCCGTGGTTATGACATTTGGAGAACATTGCAGGGCATACTACTGGATGGTACCGTAATTGCTGTTAAGCAACTTTCTTCCAAATCAAAACAAGGAAATCGTGAATTCGTGAATGAAATAGGCATGATTTCTGGTTTACAGCACCCTAATGTCGTAAGATTGTATGGATGTTGTACTGAACGTAAACAATTACTATTGGTATATGAATACATGGAGAATAATAGCCTCGCCAGTGCTTTGTTTGGTAAGTAGTTTTTATTTTGTCATATGTATGTTACGTTAATTAGACTGAATAAGAATAAGTAACCAAACAATATGACTACCATTTACCAACAATCAACACAGTAGAATTCTTTTGATTGTACTATCAATGTTAAGAGCAGGTCCAAAGGAAGGGAAATTGAAATTGGACTGGCCTTCAAGGCAAAGAATTTGTATTGGCATTGCAAAAGGCATATCTTTCCTCCATGAGGAATCTACATTGAAAATGGTTCATAGAGACATCAAGGCTACCAATGTACTGCTTGATAGGGATCTTAACCCTAAAATATCCGACTTTGGTTTGGCCAAGCTTGACGAAGAGGAGAACACCCACATTAGCACCAGAATTGCTGGAACCATGTGAGTTTCCAATTCACTCTTTCCTTCAAGAATACTCTTTAACACAGTTGCATTTTCGTAGAACTGTGCATCTTAAAATGCCACCTAAATACAGGCATCAATTATATTATTTCATCTCTGAATGACCTATATGAGAACATGAATGGTGTTGGCTGAAATTACATGGTTGGTTGCTGTCCTAAAAGTAACCAAAATAGGGCAGCTTTCAAAATCTTTCCACATAAACAAAGTTTACTTTAGGTTTCTGCATTAGCAGTGCAAGCATACTTGTGAAAAGGTTGTTAGCTGCATAAATTGACATTCTTGAATGATTTTCATACGAAAATGTTGAACAATCGGAGATGGTCATCTATATCTTGATAGTCAGCATGCAAAGTTGCCTGAATAAATGCTTAGCTAACCCATGGTAGCTTTGACGGAGAAAGGGAGCTCTGCTTTTATAATGGAGGGTATCACATGTGAATGATATATGAATTAATGAACTTTTCACCATATTTTGATAGCCTTATAAATTTCATGAATGATTTTCCAGCTGCCGGTAGAAGTATATGGTGGTGTGTCCCACTTTAATTGACATATTTGTTGTACATAAAACCTCATAATAGTAAAATAGAAGCTAACAGAACAATCTTTGTTCTGCAGAGGATACATGGCACCAGAATATGCATTATGGGGTTACTTGACCTACAAAGCAGATGTGTATAGTTTTGGAGTTGTTGCATTGGAGATTGTTGCTGGAAAAAACAACATAAAATATCGTCCTGATGAGAATTATGTCTGTCTTCTTGATTGGGTAAGAATATCGGTTACTTCTTTGCATGCATTTGATTAACAGTTTTAAAAACCAGTTTGTTTGCTTTGCATGGTTCTAAATATTGATTTTGAGATCACTCTACACTGAAATGAAAAGAATTGCTGATATCTGAATTTTTGCAGTTCAAAAAGGGCAGAAAATCAAAAGAATTTCTTTGTTTACCTATTCATTAAATTATAGATACCGTTTGTATGAGTCATGATTGGTACACTTATTAGAGGTATTTTACTGGCTTCTCTTTTTATTTCAGGCCTTCGTTTTACAACAAAAAGGAAATCTAATGGAGTTATTGGATCCAAAACTGGGTTCCACTTTCAACAAAGAAGAGGCATTAAGAATGATACAAGTAGCACTGTTATGCACTAATCCATCTCCCGCACTTAGGCCTACCATGCCTGCAGTAGTAAGCATGCTTGAGGGTCGTATCAAGGTTCAGAATTTAGTGGCAGATCCAAATATCTATGGTGATGAATCAAGGTTCGAAGCTCTCAGAGGCAAGTATGATGAGCTGCAACTCCAGAGCTCAAGTGACACTCAGACGTTTGATTCATCCTAAGTAACACGAAATGGCTCTTCCTTCACTTGTGCCCAGGATCTCCATCGAATTGATTTTGCTCCTCAGTAATGAAACAATGGTGAGAACAAGGTAGCCTAGAGAATTGCATAGATAGGGAAAAAAAAAATGCAGTAGTTTCTTCGTATTCTTCCTCCATCCTACGGAAAAACAATGTTTTTCTATGTTCTGTCTAATGGATAGGAAACAGTTCTTCTAAACCTTTGGTATAGGTTCAAATCCTATTGGACATAATTTTTTTTTTTAATTTTTATGTCAAGAAAGACATTTTGAATGATTTGAATTAGAGACGTTTGATTACTCGAAGTGTAAAATGTTTAGTGTGTGATTTCTTATAAGCATGATCGTAACTTTTGATCTCCTTGCATGACCAAGTGCAATGCTATTCTTATTATCATACACTTACTACAATTGAATCTCCCTCACTGTTCAACTTGCAAATGGTTAGAGTAGCAAAATCTGTGTAATAATAAGTTGGCAAAATACGGGTGATGAAAGAATCGTTGGGGACCTAATGAGGGCGTGCCTGTTTGCTTTTAACTTCCGTAAAAATATTAATAACCTCCTCCTGATTGAAAGTTATGCTGATTTACTCAGCAACTTAGTATATCAGCAAGACATATCACATCCTAAGTCACATAATTTTTTAAAATGGGCGTTCGCTCTCGCGCTCCGCCCACACTCTTGTTCTTGGCTCACTACGTATAACTTATATTTTGCCACTCTCACCCACTCTCACATTCGCTCCGCTCTGCAACTGTGACTTACGTCACATCTGCATGAACTGTTCCACCTGATAGGTAAAAGACTGCCTTGGTTGGTTGGTTATTTATGCTTTGGGGGGCCCTTTATGCATGATTAGCTTGGAAGTACATATTTAGGGGAAAAGTATATACAGACATTTATCTTATCTAACAAAAATGGAGAGTTCCTGTGCAATCTCTCAATGAAAATCTCGAGAAACCCTAGAAATTTGGGGTGACGTCATTGTCAATGTCCACTCTTACATACACTCAACCACCAAAGCCATCCTCAGGCAACACCTTTGGCTCCAAGAACATGCTACTCAAGATCAATAGACAATTAACAACAATCATGATGACATAAGCACGCACTCACATATTCAACAAAACCCTAGCCAATTGTTTCTGCTCAATTGGATTGTTGGTTCCGTGAAATTTAACACCGTTTTGAAATCAAATCATTTCAGGAATTTGATTTAGAAAATGTAAAGGAATCGAAAGGATTTAAAATAAAATCCCACGAGAAATCCAACTAATTTTTATATGATCTCAAATATCATGTTTTTAGGAGTGTTTGGAGCACCTCAAGCGTCCAACCCTTGTTATCATATTTTGTTCTCTTGTTTTGTGTGGTTTGTAAATTGTAAGCCAAGTGACACACAAGATGAAGTTTTGTCGAAATAACATCACTATGCAATATACAAAAAGCATTCTAAATTCTGTATATTTGGTGTGACAAAATTCTGAGACTAAATTCACAAATTGTCACCTAGAAAGAAGAAAGAACCCATTTACCAAAAAAAAGAAAGAACCCTATTCCACATAATACTCCTCCCCTAATGTAAATCTAATTTAAAATAATGTACGACATGTGATGCTGCAACCTTGTTGAATAGAATCCAATAAATAAAATACAGTATAAGGATGCACCTGGAGAAGGAGCTGCAGTATCTTTCATCCAATGCCAAGGAGAAGGAGAACTGCACAAGTAAGGTAGGTATGCCATCAAAGAATATCATCGAGCATTATCAGTAAGATACTGTACTCAGGTGAATTTCATCAGTACAAGTAGAGGAAGAGCCTATCTCCTCTCGAACAGTGTTGAATTTTGGGTTTGGCTGCCACTGAAAATTTGCCTTTGCTTCTCTCGATGAAAGTCTCTCATGGCTTTAAACCTAAAATCATCAGTATATGTATTTGCATCTGGTATAACCTCTGGAATGCTCGTTTGTCCTTCAAGCATGTTCACAACCTCGGTCATTGTAGGTCGAAGTGAAGGAGATGCATTTGTGCACAAGAGTCCTACTTTGACCATTGTTTCTGCTTCTTCTTTGTTGACTTGAGACCCCAACTTCTGATTGACAAGCTCCAATAGGTTTCCATTTTGTTGTAAGCTACAAGCCTACAACATAAATTCCTTATTTTTCAGTTTCGGAACCAAATAAAGGACTTCAAAGGAAATAACCAGTTAGCAAGATTTTAATGTCCACAGTGTGAGGTTCATGCTAGCCTTTCTACTGGCATAAAAGAAGAATAAATTGGGCATTAATAGTTCGAGTCTCATGAATGTGGATTTCTGAGAGAAACTGAGTGCAGATATAATACAATAATAATAATAATAAAATGGGTGTCCTTAGACTGAAACCCGCATTTTCAGTTTTAATAGCGCAAGCTTTTGTGCAACAGTTTCTGGGAAAAATAATAATATTTAAAAGAAATGAAAAAATGAAATGAACAGAGATAAGAGTTCATGAGTACCCAATCAAAAAGACAAATGCAATTGTTACTTGGCATGTAATTGTTGTTGTTCTTTCCACTAACAATTTCCAAAACTACAATTCCAAAGCTGTAAACATCTGCCTTGTAGCTCAGGTAACCCCATAATGCATACTCCGGTGCCATATATCCTCTGCAAGACAATATTGCAACGTAATTCAACACCAAAAGATATTTATACTGAATGCTATGAATGCTCAGGATACAAATAAGAAGAGAACAAGAACAAGGTGACTGACATGGTACCAGCAATTCGAGTGCTAATGTGGGTCTTCTCCTCATCTTCATAAAGCTTGGCTAATCCAAAGTCAGATATTTTAGGGTTGAGGTCTCTATCAAGTAGCACATTAGTAGCTTTAATGTCTCTGTGAACAATCTTGAATCTCGACTCTTCATGCAGAAAAGCTAAACCTCTAGCGATCCCAATACAGATCTTAAGCCTTGTTGGCCAATCCAGTATTAATTGACTGTTCTCTGAAGCTAAAACATCATCAAACACTTAAAATATTGCTACAGAAAATCGAATGACAATTACAAAAGCATAGTTTACTAGTAGCATACAAAATACAGTCACCAAATAGAAAAAACGCATTTACCAAACAAAGCACGGGCCAGGTTGTTGTTTTCCATGTACTCATATACCAGCAATAATTGATCCTTTTCAATACAACACCCGTGAAGCTTAACAAGATTTGGGTGTTGCAAACAAGAAATCATGCCTATCTCGTTTAAAAATTCACGATTTCCTTGTCTAGATTTAGAGGAGAGCTGCTTCACTGCAATTATGGTACCATCAGGTAAAAGACCCTGCATTCCAGTTTTTACTTAAAATCCTTGCCTATAATTTTAAACCAAAGATGATATCAGAAATGGGTAGCTAGATACCTTGTAAACAGGACCAAAACCACCTTCTCCAATCTTGTTCGCAGAATCGAAGTTGTTAGTGGCAGTCTTAATCTGTTTTAAAGTAAACGAAACCGTTTGCAACTCTAGCCCTTCAAAATCTGATTGAGGAGAAAATAGATCATGAGCCTACAATGCTTTTCCTTTGTACGACATCCATTAAAATTTTTAAAAAAAACAACAAATCTCAGTTTAAATCATATTTGATATCTGATTCTATTTGCAGGAAGGATACAGGCCTGTTTTCATTATATTATCTTTCTGCACCATGATTTTTTTTTTCTCTTTCTTTTTTCCTTTTTATTGCAGCAGGGTGGAGGGGCCTGGTTCACATATACTATAAAAGCCAGAATAACAACCTCACTACAGAATTCTCATTTTATTGCATCTCAGATAATTTTGATTCAGGTATGACACTCAAAACGTGCATGTTATGGGATTGATTACAGTATTTATATAAAGGAGCACATTCTTCCAACAACCAAGAACCAAAATAAGAGATTTTTTATTTTATTTTATCTCGAGACCTTCAATACGATTTCTTTGAAAATATTGTGGATATATTACCGAAAAATGGAACTAAATCAAGAGTAAGCGCACACATAGTTTTATTCTCTTTCATTCAAAGCTATTGCAGTATTGCTTAGCATTTGGTACAGTCCTTACCTTTTCCTCTTCCTTTCCCACCTTTGAAACAGCCTTTCCACCAAAGGATAATGAATATTACGAAAATAATACAAAATGCTACAACTCCAACAGTAGCATAAATAGCTACGTTCTTTTTGCCTCCACCAGCTGAACAAGTTTTGAAATCTGCCCAAATAAACAAACCCAAACAAGTATGCTAATGAGAAAACAGAAGACATGAACACAGCCAAAAACAAAGCAAACACAATTTAGACATGAATGCATGATGGAAGAACATGGAAGCACGCGCACACACAATCCATTGTATTAGTTTGTGCACAGCTCTTTCCCTTCTCTTCCCCTCTTCAGAAATCCAAGTTAATGAATTTTCTCTAATCATTAGTTCAAGATGTGCTAGAGAAAGAAAAAGCTGCTTTATAAATCCACAAAACCACTAGTTCCAATAATGATTTGGAACCTAAAAAACCACCAGTTTCCCTCTTCCAACAATCTCTCTTAGAAAATGACCATATCTCCAAGAGCAAAGGGACCAAGCTTTCACCCAAACTAAACCCATCTTTGAGTCACCCTCTACCAAGAAATGTCGAGTACATCCATAGATGAGACTTCCTCACCATTTCTGCCTTCATAGCAAAGTAAGCGCCACCTAAGAATGGCAGCTCTCCAAACACCATCTCTAAGGATGCCTTAATACCAAGGTTTCCAATAAATCACCCATCATAACTGAAATGGATTTACCCTATAGGCAGACACTTCACATAATCAACCATATTATGATACCAGGAAGAATACACAGCAATCCGATCACTCTTAAAAATAATAAGGAACACCTCTAACTTGTTATCATGGAAACCACGAGGAAGATAAAAAGTGGATTCTTGAAACCTCCTATTGTGGTTTCGGCTTGAATAAGAAAGCCAAAATGTAAAATGAGTATAATTTGTAAAGTTATCAGAACTTACCGAATTACTTCAGTTGTGATCTAGATATTCCATTTTTTTTTTTTTTTTTTTTTTTTGATAAATAAAATTTTATTAAAAACCACTCAAAAGGGGAGCGGATCCCAAGAAAAATACAAAAGACCACAAAGGCCTCAATCCTTCAAGGAGGCCAAAAAGTCAACAATCTCCTCCATCGAGCTATGATCTCTCCTTGAAACCCAACAAAAAATAGTGGAAAGAATCGAGAATTTAAGCACCGAAATCGACATCGCCTTTCCTTCAAAATATCTCCTATTCCTTTCAAGCCAAATACACCACCACACACAAAGCGTCGTAGCCCTCCACACATCCTGACAATGAGCCCCCACAGGGCAACCTCTCCACGCCTCAATCAACCCTCTAGCGGATCCTGGCATAACCCAAGAAAAACCAAATAAGCCAAGCATCAAATCCCAACACTCTCTAGCCAAAGAGCAATGAATGAGAAGGTGATCCACTGATTCCTCATCACGAAGACACATATAACAACGATTGACCACCACCTGGCTTCTTCTTCTCAAATTATCCTGGGTTAAGATCCTTCCCAGAACCGAAGACCACACAAAGAAAGCCACCTTGAGAGGAGCGTTAGAACACCAAATAGATTTCCAAGGAAAACGAACTCCAGGATCAAACGAGAGACACCTGAAGATAGACCTCACCTCAAACCGCCCCTAGGAGTTTGCAACCCATGACCAACAATCTGAATCCTCCTCCACAATCCTCAGGCGATCCAACAGCTCCAAGAAACGGATACAATAGTTTAGTGTTGGATAAAAGATAGGAATTATGAAATTGATTAGAGATTTACTTAATGGGTGTATTTTGTTTTATGTGAAACTCTAATCTATTTTTTTCTAAAAATTTGCATTAAGGATATCTATTTATTTAAAGATGTAAATACTTCAAGTATGTCTAATTTTATGTCAAGTATAAGCATCATGTTTGTTATCTTTTCCTTTTCCCTTCTTTCTTTTCTTTTCGATAAATAAGCATACTCACTAAAGGGCCCCAAAAGAGGCTCAATCAAGAAGATGTAAAAATGTAATAAGATGATGATTATTTTTGAGATTAAGATTGAGATTGTCCATTAATATTTAAGAATAAAAATGGGATATATTAAAAATGTTGATGGATTTCCATATGCGGATCTTCTATTTTCTTCTCTCAATTTTCCAGTAAAGTAGATGTGACTTTTTTTCGAAAAGAAAAGAACCTTAATCATGACCAATATGAACATAAATATGATAAGTAATCATGGATCACTGAACATTGTACAAAATTGGCTGTGAATCTATCCTAGAGGAATTCAATTTATTGAAGGTTTAAAGATACTGAGTATACAAAACTGAATTAAACCACGAGGTAGCGTGGGTAACTGTGTTCGCAGTTTACAAGTGGCATGTGATGTTGACATTCTTGTGTGATGTTGACATTCTTGTACATGTGGCACATGTGATGTTGACATTCTTGTACATGTGGCACATGACTAGTGACAAGTGACAGCTACATAACAAATTGCAGCATCAACAATACCCATTCCTTCTAGTTTACTTATCTCGAATTAGGGGGCTTAAGATATGAAACACTATTTCCCTTAAACCTTTGAGCCGTTATTCACCTATATTCACTACTAACTCGCTAGTTATTTGACATGATAAATCTTGATAGTATGGTTTATTTCCATTTTTTATCTATCATTAAATGAACCTTTTATGTCTTTCAAATTAATACTACCTCCGTCCCAATTTAAATGTCATGCTTTGGGAACCGTGACTCACATTGTCATGTTTTGGGAACCGTGACTCACAAAATGTGAGTCATGGTTCCCAAAACATGACATTTAAATTGGGACAGAGGGAGTAATTCAATTGGCCACAATAATAGTACAACTTATGTTATGTGGACCTACACAATGATTCATTAGTATATATGATTGTGCATGGATAATTTAATACATTTTCATGTCTCCTCCGATTAAAAAAAAAAAAAACTGTACACATGTAATTCAAATCAGAGCCAGTATACATATATGTCTATCAGAATAGTAAGTTACAATAAAGAAGACACATGAATTACTTACTCGGATGGACCGAAATAGCTGATACAAGAGGGCCATAAACTCCTCTATCAGGAATGCGTGTAGTCCCTTTCCCAGTCCAATAAAATCGGATCTCTAACATATTATTTGTCACACTAGCATTAGATTGTTTCACCACTGGCCTTTGCGCCCCATGACCCTCATCTTTAATATTGAAATCCTTCCAAACTAATTTTTCCTGAGAGACAAAGAGGTTCGGTTAAGGATTTTTGTGGCTTAATAGAAATATATATGTTCATTGATAAAACTAATTACCTGAATATAAATATCAAATATTCGGCGCCCAAGACTACTAAATGTATTGTTATCTATGAACTGTATTTCCGCAAAGTGCAGACTAACAGTGTAATCCCCATTTTCTAAACAATAACGGAAATAAGTAAGTGAAAGAGGAGAAAGACGTGCGGTCCTATAAAATTCGGAGATGTTTGTTGATGCCACAACTTCAGTATAACGTGCATTTTGGTAATTATCATCATCCAAGAAGTCCCCAGTACTGCTAAATCCCCAGTAACTATTACTGTTTCTAAAATATTTTGCAGTACCACCTTCAACATGTGCATCTCCTTCATACAAAACAGTACGATTACGCAGATCATTGCCACCACAATTAACATGCAAAGAGCACCCATCTGCAACAGAAAAAATAGAGCAAAATAATTTACGAAGCTCATTCACTACATTCTACATAAGAAGCTAAATAACAGAAAAATGTATTGGTACAAGGCAAATTGATACTCATCATAAATTGATTCCTTTAAACGACAACATGACTATTACATTGAGCTTTTAACTTCTGATTATTTAACCCCCATTAGACTAATTATTAATGCTAATATTGATGACTTTTCAGATTTCTAATTGGGAAATTTCCTGATCTAAATGACTTTATGCTAGAAAATCAAAAAATGAGGACTGCTATCTTATATTACAGAATGAACAAACTACAAGCAGCTTCATAAAATCAAAATCATCACCCTTGCCCTTATCCCATATGGATGGGGTCGACCACATGAATTCTTTCGTTCCATTCTTTCCTATCAGACACGCTGTCTTCTCTTAAATTTAAGTTTTTAAGTCATTTTTAATTCACTTCATCCCACATAAGCTTTGGTCAGCCTCTTTATCGCTCACCTAAACAAATAACTCTTCCTCTTTTAATAGGTGCATCATCAAGTGTACGTTGTTGAATATGACCATACCACTTCAGTCTACTTTCCCAAATTTTATCATTTATAGGCGCTATACCTAATGTTCCCCTCACATGTTCATTATTTATCACATCTCTTCTAGTGATTCTGATGTAAGACACAAAAGCTTTGATACCAAATGATGTAGAACACAAGTAGACTGGGAAGAGAGAAGTGATGTAGAACCAGATGTAGAAGAGAGTAGTGAGAGTAGAGTGAGAAGTAGAATCCAGAAGAGAGAAAGAGAGTGAGAAAAAGAAAGGGAAGAGAGAGTGAAGAAGAGATGAGAGAGGAAGAATCTGAGGGAGATGAAATCTGCAATTCAAAGCTCAAGATTCAATATTCATCAAAAACTACAGAGACAATACATTTGCCCATCTATATATAGGCAATACAAAGACCCTAATGTCCAAAACAGCTGCTGCAGACATAAACAGGTCAACAATGGCTGCCATGAGCCATAGTGAAACTTATAGCCATGCCTTATTTATAGGTAAACCTAAAGAATAACCACCCCCCCCCACCCCCCCCCCCCCCGCGCGCGCGGGGTGGTGGCTTGAAGATATCTTCCATAGTCAACTTGCCCATTAAAGCGTCAAATTGCTTCTTGTGCAGCCCCTTAGTAGGCAGTTGGGATGTATGGCATACAAATCAGCCCACTGTCAAGTTTTTCCTTGATAAAGTGTTTATCCACTTCTACATGCTTTGTTCTGTCATGAAGAACCGCATTGTGGGCAATTGAAAGTGCTGCCTTGTTATCACAGTATAACTTCATGGGCAGCGAATCTGAAGCCTTCAGCTCTTCTAACAATCTTTTAATCCACATAACTTCACAAATACCATGAGCCACTGCTCTGAATTCTGCCTCTGCACTGCTTCTAGCAACCACATTTTGTTTTTTACTTCGCCAAGTAACAAGGTTTCCCCCAACAAAGGAACAGTATCTGGATGTTAATCTCCTATCTGTTATACTCCCAGCCCAGTCTGCATTGGTATAGGCTTCAATTTGTAGATGTCCACGTTTTTTAAAAAGTAGACCTTTTCCAGGAGTCCCCTTCAAATATCTCAGAACCCTGTAAACTGCTTCAAAATTCTCCGGTCCAGGCGAATGCATGAATTGACTAACCATACTTACCAAAAATGCTATATCCGGTCGTGTATGAGACAGATAAATCAACCTTCGAACAAGTCGTTGATATCGTTCCTTGTTCACTACACTTTCGATCTTAGCAGGTTGTAATTTTGTGTTAGGTACCATTGGTGTTTCCGCTGTTTTACAACCAAGCATACCCGTTTCTCCGAGCAAGTCCAATACATACTTGCGTTGATTGGCAAATATACCTTCCTTAGACCTAGCATACTCCATTCCGAGGAAATACTTCAACGCCCCCAAGTCTTTGATCTCAAATTCATCAGCAAACCTTTCTTTTAGTCTTTTCAGTTCGGCACTATCATCTCCTGTCAAGATAATACCATCCACATAAACAATCAAAATAGCAATTTTACCTTCTTTCGAGTGTTTATAAAACATGGTATGATCTGCTTGACTTTAACAATATCCGTAACGTCTTACTACTTTGGCAAAGCGTTCAAACCAAGCCCTTGAGGACTGTTTGAGGCCATATAATGACTTCCTTAATCTGCAGACTTTATTTACACCAAGTCTTTCTTCGAACCCCGGTGGAAGACTCATAAAAACTTCCTCTTCTAAATCTCCGTCAAGGAATGCATTTTTTACATCCAATTGGTGTAAAGGCCAATTGGAATTCACGGCGAGGGACAATAATATACTCGAATTGAGTTTATTTTGGCTACAAGTTCGGTTCTGGGTAGGATCTTAACCCAGGATAACTTGAGAAGGAGAAGCCAGGTGGTGGTCAATCGTTGTTATATGTGTCTTCGTGATGAGGAATCTGTGGATCACCTTCTTATTCATTGCTCT